TGGGGCTGATGCCTGTTCTTTAAAAATCAAGTAAGATCTTGCACAAGACATGCAAGTGATCTTTTACTTGCAGAAGACCAAGAGCACAGAGGCACACAAGTCAGTTCCTGAGGCACCACACCGAGTTGTTTGAAGTCAGTTGTACATCCCAGTCCTGCTCTGGAGACACATAATCACTATCAGCCAGTGTACAGTCATCTAAAGTTAATAGAAGTACGTTGATTTATGCTGACTGAGGACCTGAACCAAAATCCACAGAATTATAGGTTGGTTGAGTTTGGAAGGGACCTCTGGAGGGCCTCTTATATCAAATTTGGATAGATCTTTTGATACAATAATATGAAGACACTTTTTCTTCCCCCCTAGTGTGAGACCAGAAAGAACAGCTAATTCAGGAGTATATTAGACATCCTGGACCACAACTGAACAAGATGCAAAAAATAGCATCCTTCCTACTTTGTGGTTGTATTTTATTTGTTTAATAGCATAGGTAAGCCTGAAGCTCTACTGATCTACCAAAATAAAGATGAAGCAAACAGCTTAGTGTAACAGACAAATTCTACAAGTGAAAAGAGCAATCAGATCTCATGTGGATGAACTAGAAGGATAAGACAAGCAAAAAGAAAAGAAGCTCAGGTAACTTGCTTTTCCTTCAGGAGGGATACAAGGAATTTGTACTGCCATATTTTATCAACATTCTTGCTACTTTTTTGTTCTTTTACAACTTCATTATTGTTTGCTGTTAATCTATTATTACTTTTTCCACTGTAGCAGCAAAACTCCTGAAGAGAAAACAGTGATGTTTTCCTACAGCTATTGTAATGGGTGTAGATTTTTTATTCAGACCACTTGTGATAGCCACATGAATCCTGGCAGAACACGAACTTCAGCAGCCTGGCAAACCTGCACTAGCCAGTACTTACCTTTGTCTTAGGGCTCGTGATCCACATTTTTAGCAAATATTTTGACATACAGCTTCTGAATTATTTGAATTATATATGAGGTAATGTTTCTCTTCACATTGTTCCACCTTAACATTCTGCTCCTACATTTCTGAAAGTACACTTTCATGGTTCTCAAGTACTTATTGAAAAATAAATTTACAACGCAGAAACTAAAAACAATCTCAAAACAGATTATGTATCGTTATCCCACCTGGCAGAATGCAACAAACATCATAATCCTATCTCACTTGCAACACCATAATGTAGTTAAAAATGGTCCTAGCGCTCTTAAAAGGAAACTTCCATTCAAGAGACAACACAGTTGTGAGAAAAAGGTATCATTTACTGCAGCATAGCCTTGCCTAAAACGCTGGCTGAGGTTTCCATGATTAACCTAAATTAAAATTAATTCCATATTTTTTTGGCAGAATGTCTATAAACTCATTTTCATATTTTCTTCTTCAACTATAATTAAAAACATAGGGGAAAGGCTTCATATGCCTCAAGTATGAAGGTATATTACAGTAGACATTTTTCGTTTTAAATTGCTACAATGCTTACTTTAATTGAGGCAAAATTAAGTGGGAAAGTAGAATGTCATGACTGTCTTCTGTGATTATACAATTAATACACATATCCCATGCCTACAGGGCAATAACAGCCTGTATGCTAGATTTGGTTGCATGTTCTAGAAGGATGTGAACCTTAATGCAGATTTGATCTGCAGTCACCATACATTTCTGTTGCAAGAATTACTAATCAGCAATTCAGAAATAAAAGAAGATAGCAAGGGAACCTAAAAGACTTTTTACAGCAATATTCAAAAGATATTAATAGTAAAGATGTGAAATCTATAATATCAAAGGGAAACATAACTGAATAAAATGAAGAGTAGTTTGGCTTGTGTTCACATGGAAGGCCTGCTTTGTCTATATAATCAGTGAGCAGGCAGATTCAATGTGAGAAAAGTGTGCAAATAGTCCAGGTCTCTCTGGATGTGAGGAAAGGACAAGAGATGCATCCAAAAGAATCCTCTCAGCAGATTAAAACCACTCTGATTCCATAAAGGCCTTCTGATGACTTCCTAGCAAGTAGTCCATAAATGCACAATCCCAGATTAAGGTCATTCTTCTCACAAGCAATCAAAGGCATGACATCACATTACAAACACCTTTAATAAAAGCTGAGTTAACTGAGCCATCATCTTATTGGCTTCTGTCTATCAAGTACATCCACTATTTGCAACTCTTCACAATAATCATCTCTAAACTGAATACATGCATATTCTAAAATTAATTGGAATAGTAGCAAAATAAACATGAAACATAAACTTTTTCCTCACTTCACTTCTAGAATTAGAACCACATCCTGAATTGCAGTGACACTTTGTTAACATACAATTGCTAAAACTGACAACTCTCACATCTGGAGGATGAAGTACAATCTTGGTTTAGGCATGTGGAGAGGTGGGGAATAAAAGTGTATGTGTGTTTTTCTGAGGCCTGTAGTAGCCTTACCCACTTTCGTTCTTACTCTAAAAGGCTGACGCTCTTAAGCTAAAAAAAGGGTTTGAGTTGAAATATTAAGCATGTGCCATGTCTGGACTGAAATACATTAGCCTAGGTTTTTGAATAGCACTGACTTCAAAATAAATTCTATAACCACTTTTCAGTAAACAATTGGGAAAGGACTGGTAAAATAAGGTAGTGGGATCTATTTCGTGTTTTGAATTCTCCACTAGCAAATAGAAACCCTCACTTAAAGTAGAGGAGCTTGCTTTGACTAATTTAAAAATATACTAACAGAAGCAACCCTATTAAGAGTCTTAAAACAACATTTATTCAGACAATGTGAGAAGAAAGAATTCTATTACTTGGAAAGCACTTTTCTCACCTCACCTTTCAACCACTATTTGCATAAAACCCAAATCACACCTGGATAAATTCCACTGGCTTTTGTTACATACCATCATTATTTATTTTCATGTGGAACAGTTAATGTACAGGATATCCTAACACTTCACCCAGACAGCTGATTGCAAATTAAACAGGAGACAGAGCTTCCACTGTGAAAACTCCAGAGGGGAAAAAGATCCACAAGTTAAATGTGGGAGGACCCAAAAAGAGAGGGTTGCTTATCCTCAGTAAGTGAAAAGTAATGGCTAGAAAAAGCAGGGAACAAAGTGGAAAGTGAGAAACAATGATCAAAGATTGTAGTATGTGAAATGATCATAGAACAATTAGACAGAAGCATGTAAGATGAAGCAAGTTCATTTGAATTAGACTCACAGGGATTAAGCAAGCCAGAAATAGCAATACTGCATAGGTCAGAAACTGTTAATTTTTCTAAAGGGCAGGCTAAGAGTTAAATTTCTCATCTGTCACAGGCTTTCTGGTTAGTGGTAGGGATGCCACTCAGTCTATGTCTCAGTCCCTCATCGATAAAGCTGGATGTTGTACAGAAAAGCCACAAATGATTCAGGTGACAGTCACTTGATAAGGGCAAGATATAACCCTACAGAGACAGCTATACCTCACAGATCCCTGCTGAAGAAAACAAAAAGGAAAGAGAGGAGGAGAGGGAGAGACTGGCTACAATGACGACCTACCTACCTTAATGTTAGAGAGGAACACGAATGCCCATGACAGATGGACATACAACCACAAGAAAGATAAAAGTCTGAGCACAAAAAGCCTGAAGAAGAAAATTTTCGCTAGCTGAGAAGGGTGGTAATACAGAGACAGGTATATTCCAATGATAAGGCTGACTATAATTAAAAGCAGAACAAATCTCTGAGATTACTCTCAAAGGAATGCCCTCTAATTTCAAGGAGGTGTCATGTGGTTACTAGCCACTGCTAGGAATAGTGAATACAGTCTATTAGTATCAAATATACATGAGAAAAGCATGGGAAAGTCATAGAAAGGAAGAAATAGGATTTCTGCTTGCAGTGGAAGAAAGGAAGGGTTGGGAAACTTCTTCAAGTATAGAGAAAATGGAGAAAAGACCCTTGTCACACACAGTTTCAGCCTAAGAAGCCTAAGAATAGATTAATACATTCAGGTGTGACTTGTGGGGAGAATGGAGGACAACTGGTACAAGTAGTTATTAAATAAGGTACAGGTAGTCGCAAGAGGAACCTCATGTACCAAAAGAAGCAAGCAAAGAAGACAAGCAGTCTGCAAACAGATTATCTTGTTGCAGAGAGGATCAGAGGGGCAGAGGAGACAGACAGTTGATCAGAGATGAAATTTTCCCCAAGGGCACAAACAACCCTCCAGAATACATGTGAGTTTATTTGAGAAGGTTTGAGCATATAAGAGGGCCAGAGGGAAACATGGGAATAAGTGGCACTGAGGCAGCAAGTGATCACAGTGACAGTATTTCTTCATAAAATGCTGAGCAACTCCTGGAAATCTTTACTATCCCCTCTGGACATTGCCTCTCATTATTTGTTCTAACCAGTGCTTGAAAAAGAGCTTTTCAATATGCAAGTTTGTAACCAACAGCATATGTATAAGTTCTTGCTAAGTCCAACTTCCTTCTTTGCTATTTATTATTTTCAGAGTGGTAAGTATGATTAAGTAATATACAATGACTGTGAGAGGCATATCCTTGTCCTAGGCAGACTTCTCCTGCCCTATAAAGTCTAAAAGCACAAAACAGATCATGGATGGGAAAAGGCAAATAATACCAACTCCCTGTTGCTGACTGAGAACTGAGGGAGAGAGCTAGGAAGTGAATTTCCCAGGATTTCACAGGAAGTCACTGGCAAAACTGGATATTGAAACCCTCTCTTTTCAATATCCATCTGGTGCTTCATCACATTGCAGTGTATCTCTTATAAGGACATTCCCTTTCATTTTCAGAGTGTTCTGGTAACAAGTCTTAGACTCAATGTATATACTGACTGTATACAGCCTAAAGTCTTGTTGTACACCACACTGTACATTTCTGTCTCTCTATTTCCAACTTCCTTGTAGCCACTTTTGGTCTGCTCTCAAATTAGCAGCGCTATCACCTTCATCCACAAAGCCAACGTTTTTGTGTACTTACAGTTCTGTTGGTGAAGTTACTGAAGTCTGTCACTAAGATTTGCTGGATCATGTCTGGTGAGGAGACCACCACAAACATCTGGCGACCAATGTAATACCTACAAAGAAAGAGTCATTTTAGCAGAGAATGACAACAGAGAACCATCTCCTTCCCTAAAAGAGCTCTTTTTGCTTGAAAATACTTGCCATGATCAAATATCACAGAAAACATATTCCCTTTGGTAAGCAGTATTTTTCCCCAGTCCTCTCAACAATTAAATTAAGATGCATGCTCCTGGAATTTAAAGGAAACAGCTTAAAATCTTTTACTGATTAATCAGTACTCATCCAACATTTTAATGTAAAGATTTGTACACTCTATGCATACCCTGAATGCTGTACAAAGTGACGTAGTATCACTAAACCAAACAATAGAGAAGCAAAACATTAGCAACCAACAACCCAAATAATCCTTGAAGACCTACAAAAAAGATTTTCCTGCAGTTAGCCACATGATGGCAAAGCCTTGTCTACAATGAGTATTTCCAGAAGTCCCCCGCAGCGTGACTGCAATAAAGACACACTTCCACCGCTTCTACTAGCACTGGAACTGTGTGCATCTCAGACCTCAGGCTCTGCATAATCATGGGCATAAGAGATACCATATGAACCATACGTTATAGCAATGGGGGGGGGGCAAGAAGGGGGGGGGGGAAGAAAAAGGAAAAAAAAAAGTGTTCACCATGTCTAAGGAAATTATTAAAGCTTTAGAAGAAGAATAGGTAATAGAGGTGTCTCTGCCTGTACACCCTCTATCTCCCTGCTCCCAGTTTAATTTGATCTTGTGCAGCCATGGTATGTCCTTGCATGTCTTCCCACTGTTCTGGAAGCTGCAGAGGTACTGGGACCCAACCCAACACCACAACTCCTAGGGGTGCAGAGCTCCCTTCTCCAGCACCCTTCCCTCCAAGGCCCACAGGCACTTCCTGCTTGACTGGTCTGCCAGCGGAGGAAGAAGCACCACCAGCAAGTAGAGGTTGCTTGCAGTCCCTACCTTTGTTGATTGCTGGACCAGAAAGATTATTCAGGTGGTGCTGTCTTTCCTCCACCAGGAGAAAGGAAGAAGAGGTTGGAGGCAGGCACAGGAGGGATAGGCAGCTCATAACAGAACACAAGAGCAACACCACAGATGCTGCAAAACCATGGTAATATCTGTGCCTAATCATTTTTGTGTGATATAGCTTGGTATCAATATATTGCTTATCACCTGTCTACATTGCAGCAACTGAATAGACAAGCAAACCCTGGGCTGAATTAAATATAGTAACTAGAGGTTCCCATGGCAATGAAGCTGCAGCAGCCCAGTTTCTCCAAGGGCAAACAAATCAGACAAATATCTTGATTCCAAAGCAAGGTTTCACAGACCACCTTGACCCCCCTACCACCAAAACTCATAACAAACAAATGGCGAAGAAAAGTAAGAACACAATTTTCTTCAGGAAGAAAGATATCATCTTTTCTTCTCTGGTGGGTTTTCCAGAGGAAACTTTTATTTCCCAAATGCAATCCACAGGCTCTACTCAAACCTTAGATGTGGGTGGTGTGGTCTGTGAAGGTAAACCTTTTTCACCCCTCCCAGTTTGTTCGACCACAGGAAAATAGCTGTCTGTTAACGATCAAACTTTTATTCAGAATCCCAATAGGTGCATACAAAAGAGCTGAGGCCTCATTTTAAAGAGGGCTTTGATCACAGACTTTGGCAAAAGAGGATAATGCCCTACGTGCACCTTCTGCATGTACTTTGTAAAGTTTTTCTGGCATCAAAGAGACAAAGCAAGCTCTCAGCCACGAATATTGACCTCTCATGCTCATACTTTGCTTTTCTCTTCCTCTCTCCAAGTTTATCAAGTTCCTTGTCACATTTAATGGTTAGTGACTGATGGTCCTGCAACACACAGCTTTTTATAGGAACCAATTTCCTGACACTAGATTCCAAATCATAATCAGAAGCTGATTATGTCTACCCAGATAGCCTAACTCTGACCAGGAAGAAGCACCACATGATACATCATGCAAAGCTTGTGTGTGTAAGAGAGACACACTTCTAATTTATTTCAAACCTGGGAAGCTGCAGAGGTCCAGCTCCTGTCCAATGGAATAACAGGCCAGCAGTCACAGCAGGAGTCTTTATGTCACAGCGCACTTTGTGCTTGAAAGCATTCAGGACTAAAAATTTGGGACAGGAGCATCTCCTACTCAAGCTGCTTTTATGAGAAAGTGATTCACAAGCCAAGCTTATGCAAACAAATCTATTCATCATCCTCCAACTCAGACCAGTCACCCGAACTCCCAGTTCTGCTTCCACCGCTAACCTCTTTCTTTTTTATTTACTCTTCTCTAACTTTCTAGCTATAAGCACCTGCTTTTCCTTTCCTTATCCAGTTATAAATTAGGGCAGAGAAGGAGAAGAAGGGAAAAAAGACCAATAAGTTGAAAATTCTGGAAAAAAAAATCTTAAATTGCTATTTAAGCAAAGTTCTGCCCGTTTGTAAGGAATGACTGCTGTAAAGCACATACCACCATCTCTTATTGTATCCCAAACAGCAAAGGCTTTCTTCCTGGTTTTTTTCCATTCTCCTGCTTTCTGTATATGATCTCTCTAACCTTTTCTAGGACACAAAAAGAAGAGTGTGTGTATGGACATGCTTTGGAATTCAAGATCCACAGGCTAGAAGCATGACTTACATGATCTTCCCCTCAAGTTAAGGAAAAAGGACAGGTAGAACTAAGCATGAAACAAGATCATCTGAGCTATTTAATTTAGCCGACGGAAGCTCGGAACCTGCAAAGCCACCAGAAAGATGCTTAACTGAGTTTTAACATATTTAAAATCCTTTGCAGAATCAAGGCTTCAGTCACATGCCAAGAGATTATCTCCTACCTAGGCATTTTGGGGTTTTTTTTTCACTTCTTTTTCAAAATAGTATGTAAAAGATAAAATCCTCCTGAACAATAATCTGTTCTTCCCAAGTAAATAACATAGTTCACCCCTGCCATGTAACTTCATTTTGATTCTGTATTACTACATAAGGATATCACCAATCTCACATAGATTTATTATTGAGCAAAACCTGATATTCTTGTCAGATTTTAATAAATAAGAGTTTGAGAAAAACAAAAGCCTCTGGGCAACTGCATTGCAAATGGATTCATGAATAATTTAGGACAGCACTTTTTATTAACTTTTCTTGGATTAATCTTTTCACGTGGCTCATTCACATGCAAAAGTCCTACCGTTAGCTACAGTACCATTACACTGCTTGACCCAACACTTTGTACTGTTTCCATGTAGGGCATTCAGGGGATAATGCAAATGCTTGGGACTACCTAGCTCACTCCTGCAGAGAAGCAAGAACACATGTATGTAGTCTGGCATCCTCAGGGTGATGCAACTCTGTCCACGTCAAAACACTTGTGGAAACATTTACTGCCATACCAGTAAAAATATATTTCATCACCCATGCACAAAGGCAATTTTCCTGTGTAGATAAGGCCTCAGTTATTTAAGTTATGTTGTTGGGGAAATTTCTATTATATTTCAGTTTAAACCGCAGCTGCGCAAAATAGAGAAAAAATTCCACCTTTTGGACCAGTAGCTTTAGCTCCATTGGAAGGTGAGACAGGAAAAACCTGGCACCAGTCTATTAATGGCACAAAGACAGTGTCAGCTTCCTCCAGCAAATGAGAGCGCAGATCAGGAGCCATTGCCCTACCAGGTTGCCGGGGCAGAAGCAGGAAGTCCTGTGTTGCATCATCCTCAGGAGGGCCTGGCAAAAGTTTTTCACAAGTGTTCAACAGAAGGCATGGATCTGTTCCCAGAAGTTATGGAAAAGCCAAAGGTTACCAAAGGGCTCACAGGTCAAGGAGATGGTTAGGTTACAGGATATTGAACAAAATGAATTAATCTTCATCCAAAGTGTTTTAACAACTAAAGAGGCAATAGATACGCACTGCAACAATTTGGTTCATAAGATCAGAGAAGCACCACTCTTAAGGCAATTAACGACAAGGGCAGAGACTACTGCCTTGCATTCAGGTTTCACCCAGGATGTTGTAGTCCTCCTTACAATGCATCTTTTTTTTTTTTTTTATCTACAAGAATAAAAATCAATCTAGCAATGTTTTCTGCTCATGCACCACCATTGCTGGCTGCAGAGATGTGGCCTAGGTGTCTGAAACTACACCTAGTGCCTGCCGTGGCCACAGCAACACCCAAGCATGTCATCTTCTTTCCCAAGGTTTGCCAGGGACTCCCCCAGAATGCAGATTTCCTTTCTCAGACAATGTAGCAGATAATCAGCTACTTCTAATTTGAGAGCCCAGTCTAGCATTATCTTTTCTGCACTCCCAAGATCATCCTAAAAACACTGCATGGTCATCAGCTGCTGACAGCATCCCTCAGATCCTGAGCCCCCGATGCACTCACAGCAATGTTGCCTTGTTGTGCAGGAAAAGGTAAGAGCACGTATATTACCTCATGGCAAAGGGCCATATGTTTTTGTATAACACCCATGTGGGAAACACCTGCAACCCTTTCACCTTGTTTATAGTGCTGCTGTCAATTCACAGAAGACTTTGATCTCCCTATCTATTATCAGTCCCATGTATTATAAACACATCATATTAATCATAAAATATATACATGCTGTTAGACGATAAACAAGGCTTTGTTTTCTATGCTGTGGTCTGGCAAAGTAATCAAAGATCATCTGCAAAGCCATATGAAAATAGGATATTTTATTATCTTTATCTTCCTCAGAGAAGAACAATGAACAAAGGAAAAAGGTGGGAAGGGGAAGGAGAGGTATGTAAACATATACAGATACAGGGGGAAAGGTTAATTTTCTTAGGAGATATTTCCTTAAAAGAAATTCCTCGATCACTCTGCCTCTTTTGTTTAGCAATACCTATTAATTGCAGGCAGAGAAATGTAAAAAGGAACAGCACACTGCTTGTTTAAAATAGCACTGAAGCCTGGCATTACTTACTTAATTATTTCAGAGCAAACTGATTTGTCATGAGCACTGTCCCCTTTCAGTGCTCACAGCCAGTTCAGATG